TACGTACTTCTGGCTACATAATTAGCAACCTTCAGAAATTTATATTGTACTATGTTTTCACGTTTTGGACATTGTCAAGGAGGTCCTTCTGCTTAAAGTGATAGCTCACCCAAAAATGAAAATGTACTTTAACCGAAGATATTTTGAAAATTTTAGAAAACTGTAACTAATTACTTTCATAAGAAACACATACTATCGAAGTGAGGGGTAATATTTTCCCAGCATTCATCTTTTGTGATAAACAGAAAAAGAAACTCAAACTGGTTTGTGACATGGGAAGGGTAAGGGTAAATTATGATAGAATTTTCAGTTTCTGGTGAACTATCCCTTTAACTAAAACTATAATAACATTATTTGAATGTAGTTACCCAGGTGGCTAAGAATTCTGGCCCTGATTTGGCATAAAGCTGTAACAGCAGGCATTCATTCGGCATTGGCATACAGCATGTGGGCCAAACATGGCCCAGGTTTGGCAGTGGTGGCATCGTCTTCAAGGCAGCACACAAAACTTAGGCCAGATATGAAATGTATTATTTTTCCAGATGCTAATAATGGATATGTGGACCATGTAAGTTTGGCCTTGACCCACATTTAAAATACATTAAAATTATTTTTGAATAAAGGAAAAAAATCCTATCAATCAGATCACTTCGAGAAAAAGCATGCCCATAGAGCACCTAAGGGGCAATGCTTCATGGGTTTATCAATTTTATTGCAGTCATGACCCACCAACATATCTGGCCCAGTTCAGGTCCAGTTATGGGCTATCAACTTGGCTTAGACTTAGCCCAGATGTGATCCATGTTTGGTCCAAGCAGAAGATGGTTGTGTGAGAGCTGGGCCAGAGATATTTTGCTATGTGGGTATCAAGTTAGTGTTTTGTCGGGAGAACTTAGTGGTGTCCCCGTGCTTCCTTTTGATTTGAATGGCAAATGTGGCTTTTGTTGAGTTATTTCCTAGGCCTTAAGTAAAAAGATTATATAGATGCAAATACAAGGTGAATGCATGCCACCGTCATCAGCTAATCATGTAGCTATATTTAGTATGGAAAAATTAGATAAGCAACAGCAAGCAATTCTAAATGTAAATGTTGACCTTTACGTGTTGGTTGTTTGACAGAAGGCCATGGAAACATTGTGTATCAATTGCCAATTCTTTTAATACATTAATGTATGCAAAGTACACATAAAAGTCAAAGATGAAAAGGAGGTTTGTAGGCAGATTTAAATATCTTTTTCATAAATGAGAATGTGTCCTGTTTAATTTGAATTTCTGAACCAAAATAATCATGGTGGTACTGTAATTCATTCATTCATTCATTCATTCATTCATTCATTCATTCATTCATTTTCTTTTTCGGCTAAGTCCATTTATTAATCTGGGGTTGCCACATTGGAATGAACTGCCAACTTATCCAGCATATGTTTTATGCAGCTGATGCCCTTCAAGCTGCAACCCATCACTATGAAACATTCATACACACACATTCACACACATACACTACGAACAATTTAGCCTACCCAATTCACCTATACAGCATGTCGTTGGATTTGTGGTTAAAATTAGAACACTTGGAGCAAACACACATGAACAATGAGAGGACATGAAAACTCCAAACAGAAATGCTAACTGAACCAGCGAGGCTCAAATCAGCGACGTTGCTGTGAGGCGATTGTGCTTCCCGCTGCGCCACCGCGACACCCAGTCATGTAGATATATAGTATAAAGTAACAACTGCCATTAAAAAAACCTTGTCAGGCCTATTTAATGTTCATGAATATAGTCAAATAGACAACTCGTAATTTATAATTTCCTCGCCTGAATAAGTTTGATGAATATATCAATTGCAGAATTTGTCATGCTTCTAATTATAGCAGTGACATCCTCAATGGTTTGAGAATCCATATTTAAAGCTCAGGGGAAGAGCAATCATTACGTGTAATGTTGATTTAGTGTTTCCACAAAATAGAGACGTTGCAGGAGTGTGTACAGAGGCTGTTGTAGAGGGCAGGTTATTTTTAGAGCTGCAGGGACACACAGGTCTTCCTTCTGGCAATGTCCATCACTTCCTAAACTTGGATCATGTGGTCCACCAAAGACAGATTATCAAAATCCATCCAAGAGGCAAGACCTCGGAAGAATTGTTTTCTTTGCTCTGCTGACCGATTTCCTCTCTCAGCAATGTTCTGAAGTTAGACAATGAAATCATATTGCAACATCAAGTTGGTGGGAAAAATACATCTCAACTTTAGACTTTGGAAGTAATGATACTGTAATTATGGCAGTGAGTTCAGTAACTGTTATAATTCTTTCTTGTTCAGCTTTCAATTCTGTTAACTTTTTTTAAAAGAATCTTTTTTATTGTTCTTGAATTATGAAAAAGAATTTGAACTATGACCTTTTTTTGATGGCCATTCCAGTAATGTCTGTATTTATGTCTTTTTGGAAAGCATTTTATTTACAGTGCTTGGAAAAATAATTAAATCATTGTTTTGACAGGACCAGACTACAGTATACAGTATGTGCAGTTGCTTTATAATGCTCTTAGGAAATAATTCTCTCTGTGTGGGTATAGAGCTTATCTGAGCTTATTTAGTCTATGTGTTTGTGTACTTTTCATAGAGATCATTGCAGTTGATTTAGCTTGCTCAGAATAGGTTACACACACATTGGGAGAGTGCACATTAAAACTAAATAAACTATAAATGTGATGTGATCTTTTATTTGCTTAACGCATTATGAAAACAGAACCATTTATTAAGAGACTGTCTCAGAATGTCTTGGAATAAATATGGCATAATCTAGAATGTTAAAATGCTGTTGCTTTGATCTTTAGTGGACATTGAAGTAAACTTAATACAATCATTTACTCTACTGAAGCTAAATGCAAAGCTGAATACACAATTTTACAGTGTCTGAGAGAGCTTAACATGCTGCATTTTAAGAAAACACATGCAATTACAAAAACACCAGGAAATTAAAACAAAATTAAAACAATCATCAGTTTGAGAGCACACATGTTGCAAATTATCATGACACAAACAACTGAAGAAATGCGCTGCATTTTGTCACAACACAAACAATTTAAAGAAACATGCTGCATTTCGTCACAACCCAAACAACTGAAGAAATGCGCAGCATTCTTTCAAAAGGCAAACAATTGAAGAAACACGCTGCATTTTGTCACAATGCAAACAACTGAAGAAACGCGCTGCATTTTGTCACAATGCAAACAACTGAAGAAACGTGCTGCATTTTGTCACAATGCAAACAATTGAAGAAATGCACTGCATTGTCACAACACAAACAACTGAAGAAATATTCTGCATTTTATCTAAAGCCAAACAACTGAAGAAACATGCTGCATTTTGTCAAAAGGCAAACAACTGAAGAAATGTGCTGCATTTTGTCAAAAGGCAAACAACTGAAAAAAAATTGCGGCATTTTGTCACAACGCAAACAATTAAAGAAACGCGCTGCATTTTGTCTAAAGCCAAACAACTGAAGAAACACTGCGTTTTGACAGAACACAAACAACAACTGAAGAAACGCGCTGCATTTTGACAGAACACAAACAACAACTGAAGAAACGCGCTGCATTTTGTCATAACACAAACAACTTCGGAAACGTGCTGCATTTTGTCAAAAGGCAAACAACTGAAGAAACGTGCTGCATTTGTTCAAAAGGCAAACAACTGAAGAAATGTGCTGCATTTTGTCACAACACAAACAACTTAGGGAATGTGCTGCATTCTGTCACAACACAAACAACTAAAGAAATGCATTGTATTTTGTCATAACACAAACAACTTAAAAAACACACTGCATTTATTAAACATGCTGCATACTATTAAACCAACGTTTTGCATTTAACCATGAGTTTATTTAGGCTAATAATTTACAAAAGACAAGGGAATTGTGTAATCAGGATATTAAAATAAACAAAGAACGTTTCTTCAGTTGTTTGTGTTGTGACAAAATGCAGAACATTTCTTTTATTGCTTGTGTTGTGAGAATTTGCAACACATGTGCTATCAAACTGATGATGATTGTTTCTTAATTTGCTGGTGTTTTTGTAAATGCATGTGTTTTCATAAATTGTAGCACGTTAAGCTCTCTCTCGGCCACAGAATAAATTAGACCATTAATTTTAATGAATATAAAATGAGAATGAAAGTTTGGTATATTATTTTTCCTCTTTCCATTCAATGCTCTGCTTTTAATTTTGTCGTTTGGTGGGAAATTAAAATAAGATTTAGGATTAGTTCTAATCTAGGGGGAGTTTTTTTTTTTTTTTTTTTTTCCCTGAGTGATCCCAGACAGAATTATTCTAGGAAGAAATTATAAGTAATTTATTGTTTATGATGTTAATACTTTGTTCTAACTCAACCATAGTAATAGCCTGTTTCAGTCTTGTTAGAACTTTATTATTTCAGTGTGCAGTCATTCAAATGATGCAGGCATTCAGTATCATGAAGATCATCTTGACGGTAGCAGTTCTGCTGATTGTAGAGTAATTTGGACCTGATATCCAATCAGTGGAGCCCAATTACCATGAGGCCTGCTTTACCTGAACCAGCAGTTGCACTTGGACCAATTATCTATGAAACAATTTCTCCCTTGAGACTCAAACGACATCTTAATTTGCTTTCAAAATAATTATCTGATTGACCTGTTGTGTTTGAAAACATCTTTCTTTACACCTGGAATAACTGACATAGGTAATAGAAGCATTTTAAGCATTTTACATCAAGTTCTACTATTGCAACTAAAACCATTTGCAGTGACACGAGCTGATCCAAAAATCTGACCCTTGACCACAAATCTGCAACAGTCATGCCTTAACTTGATTAAAAACAGACTTGCTGGATTGCGCAAATACATGAAGGTAAACTGGAGTAAATTTGGTTTCATTCAGGCTGGATCTTTATCTCTCAGACTGTCTGGAAAACAACAGGCAGTTACATTAGAAGACCAACAAGACAAGGTCAGGAGCCTACCTCAGAGGCTGCTGTTGTTGGTGCGAGAGGTATGTGCGAGCACAAAGCTCTCTGTGCACTGCTGACTGCTGGATGACAAGGAGCGACGAGGTGACCGCTGAAAACGATTCCGCCGGTTAAGGTAGCTGCCAGCCGTCCAAGTCCTCTGTCTCTTGCGAAGGTATTCCTTGTAGTTCTTGGTGAGCAAAGTGTAGAGGAACGGGTTGATGCAGCTGTTGCTGTAGGTTAGGCATGTGGTTAGATAGTTGATGTTGCGCTTGGCCTTGGTGGAGAGATCCAATGTGGGCTGGAACTGATTCAGAAGCTGCCAGATCCAAAAAGGTAAGAAGCAGGCCCAGAACAGGAGCACAATGGTAAAGATCAGATACAGGACCTTCTGGTTTGGAAGCTTCTTAGTCTGCTTGAAAGTCTCAGTTTGGGAGATCCAGTAGGTTCTTGCCAGGCGTATATACAAGTACCCGATAATCACCCCTGGAGCTACAATGCTTGTGCCAAAGAGAAAGGAGATGTAGATTTTGTAAGAGAGAGGACTCAGAGTGGGGTTGCACATTTGCTTGGAGTTCATTGTCATGAGCTGGACGCTGATGATCATGGGTAATGTGAGGATCAATGAGGCAGTCCACACCAGCAGTGCGATTGCTTTTCTGTAGCTTTTTGAGCGTTTGACTGTATCCAGAGGCTTGAGTACGGCGAAGTAACGTTCTGTGCTCATGACAGTCAGTGTGAAAATGCTGGCATGCATTGTAAGGAAGTCCATGCTGATAAGGATCCGACATCCTATGTCCCCAAAGTACCATCCTTTCAGGAAATGTGTACACACTACAAATGGGATTGTGAGCAAGTAGAGCAGATCAGCCATTGCCAGGTTGATGATGTAGATGTACATTGAAGCAGCTGAGCGCATGGAGTGGCACATGACAACCAGCGTGTAGATATTTCCGGACACACCCACCAGACACATTAGGGACAGGATGGTGCCAATGGTGAACGTGGCAGCCATGTCTTCTGGGGAACTTTCTACTGGACTCTCAGTGACATTGGAAATCTTTTCCACCATCGCCACTATGGGCTCCACAGACACAGTGGTCATCTCTATAAAGAAATGAATAGTCAAAAGTGGTTAAAAAGTTGTTTAACTCTGGGTTGTATTAGTTATAGTTTGTTTTGCAAATTCGAATAAAATTTTAAATATAATAGGGTAACACATTATTTTGGTGGTTCATTTGAGTATTAGTAGATTGTCTGCTTAAAATCAGTTGGTGCTGCTGCTAAACAGACATTTAACAGACTATAAGAAATTTATGTCAACACACTACTTCTAACCCTAACCCCAACCTGACTTTCCACTTATAATCTATTGAGAATTAGTTGCCATGTAGATGCAATATAACTTAAAATAAACCAACGGACCATAAAAATAAGGTGACACCCATAATATAATAATATAAATAAACCTTTCTTAATTTATATTTTAATCTATAATATGAATTTATTGTGTACCTTGGCTTCCTGTAAGTTATGATATTTTAAAAATTATTTTTTTTAACCTATGGTTTATATGAGGTCAGATATGATAATATGATTAATTTTGATAACACGCTTCATTTGTAAGAAAAAAAATTATATTATATACACTTTTTTATCATTTTAAAAATAATATTACATTATTTAAATATAATTTTCTATTTTTATAATTTTAAATCATTTTAAACCACTGGTAAATCATTTTAAACCACTATAAAAAAATTCTGAACATATATTGAAAGGTTAGATATATTTATTGTGCCTAAAACCCTTTTTACATGCTTTAAGAAACTATAAATATATTAATAATTATTTCTATAGTAAAAACTGCACATATGAGGTAAATTGGTAATACTTTACAATAATAGTACATGAAAATATGTATATATGTAATATGTAAATATGTAATATGTAAAATAAACATGACTTCAAAAACATGAGTTCATGTGTGAATAACAGCTACCTTAATTACTTGTTAGTATATGATTGTTTGTTAATTAATGTATTAGTTTATGCTAAATTTAACCATCATTAACTCATGAAATGTTAATGTAAAAATATACCATTACTTTACTTGGAGGGGCACATCACCATTAACCTGTTCCTAACAAATCATGAACTCCTTATATACGTCTGTCTAGTGTGTGTACACTGAATAACAATAGAAAAGTGTTGTGTCAGCATCAACAGTTTAAGGAGTTCATGAGTAGTTATGGTAATGTGCCCCTCCAAGTAAAGTCATGATTTGACTATACGTTAACAGCTCATGAGTTCATGTCAGATACATTTAGCTTAAACTGAAATGCTAATTAATACATTAATTAAGAAAATGTACTAACAAGTAATTAAGATACCCGTTATTCACACAGGAACTCATGTGACACATGTTGCAGTTATGTTAGTTCATGATTAAAGTGCACCTTAACTCATCATTAACTCATAATAAAGTAATGTTTAGTTTACATATTACCACATCATTATTCATGTACTGTCATTGTAAATTGTTAGCTGTCATTTTTTTGGACATCTTGAAAACAATCTGTACTCTTACCAACTAAAAACCGAGTGGTAGACACATTTTTCTATTGCTTGATGAAAATCCTTTATAGTTAGCTGTTTTTAATTAATTATTTACATCATATGACCAAAACCTAAATAAAAATATATATAAAAAACAGTCTCTGCACCCTTAAATTGAGGAAAAATGCTTATCCGTAACCATTCATCATTTTGGACAAGTGACCTCCAGAGTCAAAATGTAATGCAATTTCGAGAAGGAAATAAAAAATAGGGATTTACCTTGATTGGATTCCACTGATGGCGTAGCTCCAAGCAGACAGACGTTTAGCATTTAGAATGAGTCCAACTCATGGTTTCTCCTAAGAGTTTACTCCTATTAGCTTGCTGGTAAAAATCCTTGTACAGCAATTCCAGTTGACCAGAAATTAATGCTCTAGCCGTGTCATGTGTGTTAGGACTCACAGATCATGTCAATATTAAAAAGCACAAATGAGTCATAGGCAGGTGCTTCAGCCATGCAAAACAAACTTCAGATATTCTTCAGCGGAACACTCACTGTATCCCAAACCCGAGTGGAGGATAAGAAGAGTCCAACAGGTTCAGAACAACAAAAGAAAGTGCCACGAGGGTATAAGGGCAGAATCCTCTTAGATGGGTATGCCCAAGGAGGCGATCACTTTGAGCTACAGCTGGATTTCGAAACCCTCTCCTCCACTGACAGAGTGCGTGCCTGTGAGGGGTAGAGATAGAGAGAGAGCTACACACAGCATAGAGTGGGAGGGGAGATGAGGGAGAGACGAAAGGAGAGGGAGAGAAGCGAGATTGGTTGGGGGGGTTGGGGTTCATTGTGAGGAGGCATTCCGGAAATGTGTGTGTGTGTGTGTGTGTGTGCGTGTGTGTGTGTGTTATTTGTGAATGACTAATGAGTTACTACCTGAGTGCATTCATTCATCTAGTGAACGGGAGATTGTCACATGTGTCAAATTATATGAAATGTTAGTGATTCTGGGTCTCCTCATGAAGAAAATTATAATAAAACATGGAACATAATGTTCAATAACAAGCTGCCCTCTCAAAACAAAATCTGCAGGTGTTTCAAAGGAAACAGGTTTAAGTAAAATGTTTTTTTGACAGGGGCAATTTAGCCTTCCCTTCCGTCAAGACCCTGCTAGCGATGCAATCAAAATTTTTCCACTTTGGTGTTCCAAGGTAAACATTTTACAGTGTTGATTTCACATAATAAGCACAAACTGAGTTTTGATTGGCAGAAAAGCTCAGAGTGTGTTTAGTGCCCTCTGACATGTCCTTTAATAATGGTCCCTTTTTTTATCCCAAAGGTCATCCCTCTAAATAATGCCCTGATAGTCTATTCTCGGCGGGTACTTATTACATACCTGGAAGTTTTTGGCACTTTTATGAAAGAAAGCCTGCCTTGTTGGTTTTTTCACAAAGATATGTTAGCGTTTCAGAGAGGAATACACATTCTGAACTTGTTTACGACTCTATTGCTTAAAGGTGCTGTATGTAAGTTTTTGACTCTTCTAAAGCATAAAAATACCATAATATGTTTGCAGATATTAAGGAAACATACCAAGTGAACATACTAGTTTATCTGAAAAACAATGCTGAAGTCAAATATCTGCTTTAAAAATGTTTTCCGTGTCAGGAAGCTGTATTTGTTTTGCTAATTTTAACCTGCCCAATGCCAGTTTAGTCAAATATATTTTAGCACTCTGGGTTGCCTTGGTGGAAAACCACATATTTCATTCATTCATTCATTCATTCATTCATTCATTCATTCATTCATTCATTCATTCATTCATTCATTCATTCATTTCATTTCATTCATTCATTTAGAAAGACTCTGAAAGAATGCATCCGTGGCCGAAATGCGACCTCTGGTGGACAGTACCAGACTCCGAAATGAGAGGCAGATTCAGAGTTCCAAATGAGGTTATTAATTAGTAAATGGTATAAATATTATGAGCGTAAACATTGGGTGTGCAGGTTACATTGTTACCGAGTGTCCAAACAATAGGTATATGATGAGATAATGCTGTGATGAGCAATTTGGCTGTTTGCACCAGACGAAATACAGAAATGTAAATACAGCCATTCAGAAGCACAGAATATGCGCTCACTCAGGAAGTGGTAAGATTTCTAATCTAATAAATGCATATTGTATTAAAACTTTTTAACATTATTAAATGTAGATGCTGAATCACTTGTGTTTAGTTCTAAAGTTCAATTTCAAACAGTTTATTTTATTTTCAAGATCTAAGGTAAATATCTGCTGCATCTATATAAGGCAATAAATGTCATGTAGAATGGCATTCAAACTCACATTGTTAGCATTTAACACTGAATAAAGCACATGAGGTTTACCTGAGGTGAACATTGTGTAAGTTTTCTGTTGTTTACCTGTGAGAAATAGAAGCCGTTTCTAATATATCAAGTCGAGCTGTTGGTTAAGACAAAAACTCCTTTTTATATGGAAAATATTCCTTCTATTGGGTTTCGTTGCTTATATTTAGATCACGGTTTAACTCGCTCCTGTCATCAATCTGGCAACCTGCACTTGCGTTTGTTTTGATCCAGGAGTGTAGTACCTAGTTCAACCACTGGGTGTCAAATGTACATACTGCACCTTTAAGGATGTGTTGAGATGGCATGGATTTAGAATAACCTTTATACAGCAAATTCCCACATTTTTACTAGATCTGCTGTGTTATGAAGTCAACATATTTTGTCTTGTTTCAAAGATAGAAGGGCTTTTCTGTGACAAACCTTTTGTGTGGTGGAAGGTGGGAAAAACAACAAGTTTTGAGACATACTGTATAATATGGGCAACACTTTACTGCTGGGTTCAGTTTATAAGTGTTAACAGATAACATGCTGCCTTGCCAAAAAGAAAAGGATTAAAGTAAGCAAATGCTGAAGATCTTATGGTTGAATTTATATTGCAGTGATTAATGTGTGTCTGGCATATTGGCAGCAATCGAATGGGCTTTGTGTAACTGTTGATTTCTTAAACAATCGTGTTGAAAGATGTATCAGATGGCCATATTTCAGGATGACAACTACAATGTGCATTGGGCTCAGCTTGTAAAAGAATGTTTTGTTTTCATGCATGAATTGACCACCAGTTGACCTCAACTCCATTGAAAGTCCTGAAGATGTGCCATAGACAATCGATGCCCCTGGGTCAGATAGTAACCCTGCAAACAATTTTGTGTTTAATAGACATCTAATAGACATCTAAATGTTGACAGCTTAGCTAAAACAAGGCTAAACTTGGGCTGTACGTGAAAATCTAATAGGTAGCCCAAAACTAGACTAATCGTCAAATAAACAGATTAGACAGACTTTATATGTGTAGTCATTCATTTCTTTTTATTTGATGACTAGTTTAGTTTTGGCCTAATCTTAGACATCTTTTAGATTTTTACAGGCAGCCCAAATTTAGCTTTGTTTTAGCCAACACAACTATGTTTAGCCATCTATAAAACATCTACTCTTTTAAAAACCAATAAATAAGTAAATAAATGTTTGCTGGGAAGTATCTTTAAGGTAATCTTTAGATGTGATTATGGGATGCATTTATGATGGCATTGTTTTGAGCATTAACCAAATACAGTCCTAAAAAAACAGATGCATTTTCTTTCACAAATCTGAGACCTACTCTAAATATGTATAAAAATACACAGCACTCAAAATAAGATCAATGCTGAAATAACAGATTGCATGATTGCTCTTATTTATAATGAAGTGATATACAGTCTGCACTGCTGCGTTTGTGCATGCAATTGAAAAGGTGCACTGTGAGCACAGCTAATAGGTAATGAAAATGATGTTCCTTAGGTGTTTTTCATTTTGTTTTGTAACCAGTGACAACAATGTTGTGCTTGTGTTACTTTTTATTTTATAGCATGGTTTTCACCTCAGACATGTCAGTATTTTACCCATAGTATGTTTTATTCAACATAGGCTCATTCTGAAAACATACCCCCTATATTAGTTTATGGAGATCACAAATTATGTAGCCATGGGTGCATTTCGTCTTTAAAAAAAAACGGTACAGGCGGCATGATGTCGTCCCTTTTTGCGCTTACCAGCTGACCGCTTACCTTCATGTGGATGACTTTCCCACTGTTAGCAGTTTGTCCAGTTAGCTCGACACGTATGTCAGCGGACTTGAGATTCAGAGCGGAGTTGACCATGACAACAGGGTTTAAGTCCATGGAAGAACGGTTCCAGAACGTAAGCAGGACAAAAACAGAAGCCAAAAAAATTAAAAATAAACAAGTAAATAACAGGGTGAGAATGTGGTAAAATCTGAAAACGTGGTAAAAATCAGGGGGCTTTTCTTTTCCTGGACTGCTTCTAAAACACTGCGGTTGGGTTTAGGGAAGGGGGTGGGCGGGTCAATAGGTGCTTTTCAAAATACTATTGGTTGAGTTTAGGGAAAGGGGAGGATGGGGAATCAGATTGGTCAGTCAGTCACTGAGTTAATCAACAGCAGCCTCTGGTGAATTTACATGAGAAGAGCAGGTGCGAATGGCACTCGTGAGAGATTTGAGATCTGATGTAGGGTAGTGCTGTTGCCTCACATCAAGAAAGTCGCTGGTTTGAACCACAGCTTGGTCAGTTGGCATTTCTGTTTGGAGTTTGCATGTTCTCCCCGTGTTTGTGTCAGTTTCCTCTGGGTGTTCTGCTTTCCCCCAAATGTCCAAAGACTATAATATAGGTATTACACTATAGGTGAATTGGGTAAGCTTAATTGTCCGTATTGTATGTGTGTGAATGAGAATGTATGGTTGTTTCCAAGTGATGGATTGCAGCTGGAAGAGCATCCGCTGTGTAAAAACGTGCTGGATAAGTTGTTGGTTCATTCTGCTGTGGCATCCTCTGATAATAAAGGGACTAAGCTGAAAAGCAGATGAAAGAATGAAAACGAATGTACTTGCATGTACAAAATAGATAGTGAGACTAACATAGACCCTATTGAAAGTGCTATTTATCATTTTGGGGGTGCGTGCAATATGTTATTGGATTTTAAAGGAGCTAAACTCTACACTGCAATTTGCATGCAGTGTTTGCATTCATGTGGCAGTCATTGGGATTCAATGTTGAGTTAACACATGAGCAAAATTAATGCGAGTCTCTTTCATTATGCTATAAGTCTCGTCACAGCACTATCTCAATTAATGGGAATCGAGAGGCGGCGAGAGGTCAGGGCAAATGGCAGAACACTCATTCAGAAGTACATCAACAGCACTTCATTGTAGTCAATGTAACGCTGGACTTATGAAAAAAAAAAAAACACATTAGGATTTGACTTCATCCATTGAAGAATGCAGGAGAAAAACAGCCGAATTAAAGTATGAGCAGAATTGTAATATAGCTGAAATATTCTAGTCTCTTGGAGTCAGCTTTATTAATCTGATTTGGAATTCTCAGGAAGTCATATCTCTAACTTTAATATAACAAGGTTCATCTGATGGCACACTGCCTTGGTTGGTAAATAAAGTTCAAATTGCTGAAAATGTGTTTCGGAGAATTTCTGCTCTTTCCGATATAGATGGGCAATGCAAGTCAAGTAATTTGCTCTGGTGCACATGGCAAATAACATCCACAGCTCCAGCATTTTAGACTAGCATATCATTTGATTGAGAGAATATTATTTGTAGGTCAACAATTTTGCTCTTGTGCAAATTAGCTGTTCTCGTCTCCGAGAGC